CAGGACTGGGGACCCCTGCCTTAAGACAAGATCTCTCAGCCCCGGACGCAGGTCCGAGAGTCTGCTTTCTGACCACACCTCCACCCGAGCCTTCAGTTACATCTAGCGGTGTGGCTGTTGGGAGAGTGACCATTTCTACATCGTCTGCAAAACGGGTCACGGAAACGGCGCAGAGGTATCGACCGCTCGAGAAGGTCCGACACCAAGCTTTGAACTCACCGCCACATCCCTCGCGACCTGCCTCTTTCGCCTCTCTGCCCCGCGAGCCACCGCGCCGTCTCCGCCCGGCATGGTCACCGGCGACGAAGACGCAGAGCAGGCGGGAGCACTCCTCTGCGTGAATATCAACCCTGCAGAGTCCGTGAAAACGGCATGTACATGTTAAAAGTCTCTCTCGGGAATAAAAACACTAGAAACTGTGTAGAAAACAAGCCTCAGCGAGTCAGTTTACAGCAGTCTTTCCCGACTGTTTACACCACAATGAACTTCTGCAGCACAGCACTCTTGTAGTTCGATCGCTCTGGGATACATTGCATTTTAAGGGAGACAAATCTACCAAGAATGAATCGATGAGAGCAGATGGCCCTGAAACGAATAAGACAGCGCCATCTATTGACAAGGAGGCATTTTTTTTAGCACGCAATGTCAGTGTCGGTGTCGGTCTCGGTGTCTTGCTGCAGGTGGGTGAAAGGACATGAGGAACGGTTTGGAATGGAGCTGCTGCTTCTGCCAGATGTTCGGCTCCTTGAATAATAGCACAAACCTGCCCAAATACAGCAGCGGCCTCCAGTGCTCTTCAACTACATTAAACATATTTTACATGTATAGTATATACAGCTCTTTTAATCCCTAAGAGGATCCAAAAGAGCTTTACTTTGACTTATGAGAGGGGTTTTATTTCATTCACCACGGAATGTGTAGCCTCAGCTGGGTGACGTACAGTAGCTATTCTGCGCCAGGAGCCCCCTGTATCTGGGAACTACTACCATAAGACTTTACAACTCCTCCACTGGGTGTCTGGGCAGGGGCAACATTGACCTGTTCTGGGACTAAACCTGAGTCCTCCGTTTACAACTGGTGTGCAATATAAGGAAGTGGATTTGCAACCTATCTGTAATTGTGTAACGTATAGGATTGTGCAATACGTCTTCTTTGTGCCCTGTACATTCTGTGTTATTTTTGTATGATCTGTATGATTACGTTGTAGTGTGCTGTGTTGATTGTGCCTGGCTGCTGTTGCACTGCAATTTCCCTCACCGGATTAATAAAGTATCTGTCTGTCTGTCTGTCTGTGTGAGAGAGGTTGCGCTGCCCCAGGTGTGAATGGGAAACTTTAGGAAGGTCGGGCTGTACCTGCACACTGCAGGTAACACCACTACTAACTAAGAGAAATTTAATGACTAAACAGTCAGGATTTCAGTTTAAAGTTTCACCCAAAGGACGACACCTCCTACAGCACAGTGTTCCTTGTCACCGTGCTCATCATTGATGTGGAAATTATGGATCAGAGGTAGGGAGCGCCACCTACTGGTCACAGTCACACACTCCCCAGTATTGACCAGACTGGGCCCTGCTCGGCTGCTGAGAGCTGACCAGATCAGGCTAGGTGGTGTGAAGGCTGCAGCCTGGGTGTGCGACCTAACTGATGTATCACCTGACAACGAGGAGTTTTACATACTTTACATATCAGAAAGCTTTTAAAAGTATTGAAATATTCGTGTGTAGATAACCGGCTTGCCCAACTGGAAAAGCGCTGGAAAAGCGTCCGCGGGAAAGAATGACAAATATGCTACCAGGAAGCAGTGTAATCTAAGTCAAATGTCGAAGAACGCACGCCGATCCCCGAAAAGGCCGCCTGCCCCTTTAAGGCGCAGGGGGGGTGGGGGTGGGGTCATCTTGCCGCAGCTGCGCAGTAGAGCAGGAAGTACCGAGTCGCTTCTCGGCCAGCTGACAGAACAACAACAAGCAGAGCCCGCAGCCGCAGTACGGGCAGCGCCGTGCCGACACAGGTAAAGTGCTCGGACCCTCGGTCACTTCCAGGGGAAAAGCGAGGGGTTAGAGAGCGGCTCTGCGGCCCCCCCGGGAACAGGGCCTAGCGCGTCTCTCGGCCGGGGTGGGAGTTGGGTTCCGCTCGGGCTGGTGCGGGGTTACACTGGACGTACTGGGAGCAGCGCCGGGCCCAGCGCTGGCGGGACGAGATCCCTCTCATGCGGAATGACAGGGGAAGCCGTGTCCTGCTGCTGTGCCGTAACGATCCCGCGGCGGCGGCCGTCTGCGCCGGGAATCTCACCCGACGCCCCGGGGACTGACGGAGAGGCACTGCGACACGGCGGCCGGGCGGCTCGGGTGTTGACAGCGGGCGAGGGAGCGAGGGGGGACGGTACAACGCGCCAGACCCAGCGGTAGCCACGGTCCGCAGTTCCGCCTGCTGGCCTGGAAGTCTCCCCCCCCC